TAAAGGGTTAATAAATAATTGGATAAATATTTAATAAATAATTGGATAAAGGGTTAATAAAGAATTAGCACAGGGAAAGCAGAGAGGGGTGGGAGTGATTGATCATCAGTCGATGGGGGTTTGATCAGGGGAGCGATCGATCATTGATCAATGGGGGTTTGATCAGGGGAGCGATCGATCATTGATCAATGGGGGTTTGATTGGGGAAGCAATCGATCATTGATCAATGGGGATTTGATTGGGCGAGTGATGGGTCATCGATCATCAATGGGGGTTTGATCTGGAGAGGGATCAATCATCAGTGGGGGTTTGATCGGGGGAGTGATTGATCATCAATCAATTGATGGGGGGTTGTCTGGGGGAGTGATTGATCATCAGTCATCGTTAGGGGTTTGATCAGGAGAGTGATTGATCATTGATCGATGGGGGTTTGATTGGGGTAGCGATCAATCAATCATTGATCCATGGAGTTTGTCCTGTGGGGGTTTGTCCAGAGGAGCCAATTGATCCATCATTGATCAATGGGGTTTTTTCAGTGGAGGTTTGTCTGGGAGAGCGATGAATTGATCATCGATCAATGGGGTTTGTCTGGTGGGGGTTTGTCCAGAGGAACAATTGATTGATTATTGATCAGTGGGGTTTGTTCGGTGGAGGTTTGTCTGGGAGAGCGATGAATCGATCATTGATCAGTGGGGTTTGTCCGGTGGGGGTTTGTCCAGAGGAACAATTGATCGATCATCAATCAATGGGGTTTGTCTGGGAGAGCAATGAATCGATCATTGATCAGTGGGGTTTGTCCGGTGGGGGTTTGTCTGGGGCAGGGACAGTCCAGGGGGCACAGGGTGGGGGCTCACCTGCCTGCTGGTCATACTGGGAATACTGGACCGGCTCGGGGTACGTGATGCCCTCGAAGCGGCTGTACTGGGCCTGCACCAGGAGCGCTGCGGGGATGGGGCCGTCAGCAGGACGGGATTGGGGTTCCCTGCTCTGTCACCCCAATCCCACCCCATTGTGCCCAGGAGAGTGGGAGGGGATGGAAACCCCATCCCAGGGATTTGGGGTTCCCTGTTCCCATCACCCTGATCCCACGTCTTTGTGCCCAGGAGAGCAGGAGGGCACTGACCCCCATCCCAGGATTGGGGTTCCCCATTCCCATCACCCCGATCCCATCCTTTTGTCCCCAGGAGAGCAGGATGGCACCGACACCCCATCCCAAGGATTCAGGGTTCCCTGTTCCCATCACCCCCAATGCCACCTCCATCAGCCCCAGTCCCACCCCATTGTGCCCAGGAGAGTGGGAGGGGATGGAAACCCCATCCCAGGGATTGGGGTTCCCTGTTCCATCACCCTGATCCCACCCCTTTGTCCCCAGGAGAGCAGGATGGCACCAATACCCCACCCCAGGGATTTGGGGTTTCCTGTTCCATCACTCCAATCCCATTTGTTTGTCCCCAGCAGGCACCGACACCCCACTCCAGGGATTTGGGGTTCTCTGTTCCCATCACCCCGATCCCATCCATTTGTGCCCAGGAGGGGGTTTCGGGATGCTCAGGGATGTGGGATCAGCCCCAGGCCCGGGTCCTTGCGTTACCCAGGGGCTGATCCCAAGGGATCCCAGGGGATCCCAGATCCCACAGACCCAGAAAGACTCCACCCCCGCTGACCCCAGGACGCTCGGATCCCTCGGACCCTTCCAGGGGGGATGGGCTCCCAATGGGCCCCACATCCGGGGGGAGGGGCTGGAGGGGGCAGAATTCTGGGAACGGGAATCAGGTCACCCCCAGCCCCACGACATGGCCCCAGACCCCTCATCCCGGAGACAGGAGTGTCCATGGGCTGGGATGGGATGGGATTGGGATTTGATGGGCTGGAAATGGGATTCAATAGGGTGGGACTGGGATTTGATAAGGTGGGAATGGGATCAAATAGGATGGAATGCCACCGGGATGGTTTTGGGATTGAATAGGGTGGGAATGGGATTCAACAGGATAGGAATGGGATTCAATAGGATGGAATGCCACTGGGATGGGATTGGGATTGAATGGGATGGGAATGGGATTTGATGGGCTGGGAACGGGATTTGATGGGCTGGGAACGGGATTCAATAGGGTGGGATTGGGATTCAATAAGGTGGGAATGGGATCAAATAGGATGGAATGCCACCGGGGTGGTTTTGGGATTGAATAGGGTTGGAATGGGATTCAACAGGATGGGAATGGGATTCAATAGGATGGAATGACACTGGGATGGGATTGGGATTGAATGGGATGGGAATTCTGCTGGGATGGGATTGGGATTGAATAGGGTAGGAATAGGATTCAGTAGGGTGGGAATGGGATTCAATAGGGTGGGAATGGGATCCAATAGGGTGGGAAAGCTGCTGTGATATG